GGGAAACACTTGTGGTCAGAGGAACGCAGCTCTCTGGTGTCAGACACATTGCTCTCTAGCAGTGTATTTCTTGTTGTTGGGAGCCAAAGGCACCCCAGAGTCTGGCAGATCCCATTTTCTCTTCTGCACAGTACACACTGCAGATGGGGTGATGTTCCACCCCCTCCCCACTCCTTTACGAGGGTCACAGCTCACTGGTGTCAGATGCAACCTACTCTATGTATGGATGGATTCTGGTTTGCACAAGAAGGCAGGGAAGACATGATCATTACTTCTAAAAATCCTCGAGCTGGTGGTAGACCTACAGGTCCTCAGCTGACAAGAAGGAAAAAGAGCAGACTTTTCATGCTGTTAACAGTCTGGCTTTACCACTGTTGTCTGGTGGAAAAACAATGGCAAGAGGCTGGGAGCTGTAAGTTAGGGAGAGCAATGCTGGGAAATTAGCAAGGGAGAATAAAAGATGTAGAGGGAGAGGTGAAGGGAGGGAACTTCAGGTCAGGAACTTGGTTTCCCCACTTCCATGCGGGAGACAAGACTGCAGGTGGTAACAATTCTTCATCTCTCCCCCTCTTGGAAGGCAGAGAGTCTTTGAGGAGCTCTCAATGCTCCTTACACACTGTGAAGGACCCTGCTGGGGCTCTCGCTTCTCCAGCCTATGGAACCTGCTACAATCTCTCCCTTTCACCACTCATATTTGCTAACCAACAAAGAGCCTTCTATGCCACAGTGATATGAGATTATGACTTGTGGACATGGAACAGATTATGGCTTGTAGACATGGCACAGGACAATTCCTGCCCTCTGTTCGGCCCTGACCGACTCTGCAAAATTTTGAGGCAGAATCTGAGGGCTTTTCCTGATCCCTCTGGCACTCAATCAATTCAAATCAATACAGTGGAGGTGGAATTTTGTTCTCACTTCTGTCCTCTTCCATCCAGAGCTGGTGTGCCTTGGACTGCAAGGAAGGATTCAGTTCCATGGAGCAATAAACACAAGAGACAGATCGGTCTAGATGGAGAGGGAGAGAAGGAAGCTTCAGAAGCTTCCCCTCTTCCACTAGAGAAGGAACAGAGCAGAGAATAGGAATACTAATGGATTCCTGCCTTTCTACACATTCTTTCCCTCTACAGAGTTTCCTTTCTGTGAAAAGAGCATCTGAAGGCCATGTTTGCTCTTAAACATACTGTAGGGAATGTCTGCCAAGGAACTAAAACTGAAAGATTTCTTCCCCTGACATGAAATGCACTACCTTCTCTGAGAGACAAGGCCTCAAATGGCAGGAGGCAGTGTCAGCTTCCAGTCTCTCTGCTCTTTTTTAAAAGGAAGGACAAACACCTCATGGGGCCAAGAATCCACGAGGGCAGAGATGGAGAAGATTCTGAGCAAGAAACTGGCCTAACAGGTGAAGTGAACAGAGGGCACACACGACAATGAAAATCAGGAATTCTTTGTCTACTTCACATTGGCAAGCAGATTTCAGGTGTTTCCACGAAGGCAGAGCTAAATTGTGCATAGTTTTAATGCAGGGAGGCAAACACCATAGGATCATCATGCCACCAGAAGGGCTGTTGCATATGTGTAAGCACTGCTCAGAACTTAAACATCTCTTTGCATCACAGACTTCATACTTAGAACCATTAAAATCTCTTTGAGGAACATGAGTGATGCATCCATCATAACATGGACAATCTCCCTAAACTCAAACAGTTTGAGACAGTGAGTGAGCCCAAAGCATTTTCTCTGTGATAGCAGAGGGCTGCCAGCTCTTTTCCTGTGTGCTTTTTCTCTGAGAAATCTCCATGCAGGTGACAAGTCTGCGGGTGGTAACAATCCTTCATCTCTCCTTCTGGAAGACAGAGAGTGTTTGAGGAGCTCTCAGTGCTCCTTACACACTGTGAAGGACCCTGATGGGGCTCTCACATCTGCAGCCTATTTAACTTGCTACAATCTCTCCCTTTCAAAACTCATACTGCTAATCAGTAAAGAGCCTTCTATCCCACAGTACACTGTGGCTTGAGGAGATGGCATAGGGCAACTCTTAGCATCTGTTCTGCCTGGACAGACTCTGTAAAGTCTTCAGACAGAATCTCAAGGCCCGTGCCCTTTTCTCATCTCTCTGGCACTAAATCAATCAAAATCAATGCAGCAGAGGAGGAATTTTGTTCTCACTTCTGTCCTCTTCCATCCAGAGTTGCCTAGGTACAGGCAAGTGTGCCTAGGACCATGTGATAGGATTTCCTTCCTTTAGCAGTATGCATGAGAGACAGATTGGTCTTGATGGAGAGGGAGAGAAGGAACTCTGGCTCAGGCACTTGCTTTCCCCTCATCTCCTCCACTGGATAAGGAACAGAAGACCTGAAATGGATTCCTCTCCCTCTACACATTCTTGCAATCTACAGTGTCCCCATACTGCTGAAAAGAGCTTCTGAAGGCCATATTTTGGGCTTCAGCATATTCTCGTGAATGTCCACTTAGGAACTAAAACAGAAAGATTGCTTTCCTTGACATTTCTTACAGGAAAAGTACTTCCTGCTTGTACAGAATATTCCTCAGATGACAAGAGGCAGTGTTAGTTTCCAGTGATTCGTTTCTTTCTTCACAGGAAGGACAGTGGAGATGAGCACCTCAGAGGTCGTGGAATCCATGAGGAAGGAAATGGAGAAGATTCTGAGCAAGAAACTGGCTGTGTTGCAGAGAGAACTGGTAACGACCCAGCATGCAATCCCACCCATGAAGGAACCGACCAACACCTGGACTACCCTTCAGAGTATCTCTGAGAATGTGCAAGCCCTGCAGAAAGATTTGGAGAACATGCATGTGTCCACAAAGGAGAGCCTTCAGATGCTCAGAGCAGACCTGGAGGAAAGAGTACCAAAAGCATGGAATACACCCAAAAGGTCTGAGTCTGAAGAGAATCTGTTGGATGTGGAGAACCATGGAGGTGAGCATGGCTACCCCCAAGCGGGCTTTCATCTCCCTGTGTTGGAACTCCTATGAGCACATAAACCTTCAGTCAGTCTCCTCTAAAGAGATGGGAGGGAGAACTGGAGTGGTAAAGAAGAGGAAACATCATGTTTGAGAGAAGGGAATTTAACAGGTGAACAGTGGGCACACACAACAAAGAAAATCAGGAATTCATTGTCTACTTCCCACTGGCAGACAGATTTCAGGCATTTCCAGGAAAAAAAAAAAGGCCTGAATTCCTTATTAATTTAATGTGGGCAGGCAAAGATCGTAAGCAGGAACATGGAATCTGCCATTCCTCCTCCATTCATTCATAAGCAGGAACATCTGCCATTCCTCCTTCTTTACCTTAGCTGAGCAAGATGCCATCTGGTATAGAATGTCCTTTTTTCCTATTGGGGTCTGCTATCCTTCAGATGCTGAAATGTCCTCAGATGCTACCTAGAGGGCAGAAGAGTGAAAGGTCTAAGGGTTCTGGGTCTGAGGAAACACTGTTCTTTCTGAAGTACCAGTCCAATGAGCACGGCCATCCTTAAGCAGGCTTTCATCTCCACAGATGGTAAAACTGTTCAACAGGACTGAATCTACTGTGCACTCTGAGTTTTTATCATGCTTTTTCTGTGTGCTATATATTTTATGTAGCCTCTTACAACAACCCAAGGCGATGACATAGCACTCCTTTTGCTCTTTGCTGAAGACTCTGAGATTCCCTTGCTAGCAGGAGCTCAGTTAGAGACTATAGGAGTGACTGGCAAAGCGCTTGACAGCTTTGTCATAGGACAAGTATTCCCTCGGGAAGCCTTTCTACCCTGGGAGGTTCATCACTGTAAGAGGAGTGCCCCCTTTCTGTCCATGGTCTTGCCAAGATGATAAAAGGCCTGGAGCATCTCCACTTTGAAGAACACCACACTCAACTGGTGAAGAACACCAGGGTCTGTTCAGCCTGGGGAAAAAAAGACTTAGAGGGGATCTGATAAATGTTTATAAATATCAGAAGGGATGGTGGAGGTAAATGGATGAGGCCAGGCTCTTCTTGATGGTGTGTAATGACAGCACGAGAAGTAACAGCCTAAAACTTGAACATATGAAGTTCCCTACTAACATGCAGAAGAACTTCTTTATGGTTAGGATGATGGAGCACTGGAACAGGATGCCCAGTGAGGTTATGGAGTCTCCTTCTGCAGAGATATTCAAGACCCTTCTGGTGACCTACCTCTGCAACCTGCTGTAGGTTACCTGCTTTGGCAGGGGGTGGTCTTGATAACCTCTAGAGGTTCTTTCCAAACCCTGTGATTCTGGTATTCATTCCTTTGAGATGTATTTCTCCTTTCTGAACTTAAGTTCATTCAGTAATGAATGAGAGCTCACAAAATGGTGTCCTACATTTCACACAGCCCAGTAGTGATTGGACAAGGAGGTTGGTTTAAATTAAAGGAGGGGAGATCTAGATTTGGTGTTAGGTGGAAAATTGTTACTCACAAGATAGTGAGGCACTGGCACAGGCTGTCCAGAGAAACTCTGGATAACTCACCCAGGAAGGCTCTGCAAAGAGGAAGAATACCTCCTACTCCATCAGATTGCTCAGTGCTCAGTAAAGCCTGATTTTGAATGTCCACAAAAAATGCCACCTCTCTTTGCAACCTGTTCCTGTTTTTCATTACCCTTATTGCAGAATAACTTCTGTTTTATATCCAATCTAAATCGTTAATTGCAATTAGAAACTGCCTGTCTCAGCTGCCTGTCACCTCCAACAGAAACAACACTTTGAGAGAACTGTGTGTGCTAGGAGATGTGATGGGGAGGAGAAGGGATGATGAACATTGCCTGGGTCAGAATAATGGATAACTGTTCCTCTATTATGGTACACATCCTTAGAAGAATCAGAAGCCGGAATTGAGTGTGGACAACAAGCAGATTTTAGGGCATTCTAAGACAAGTGTTACACTGATAAAATTTCCTTTGCCATGAGGAGGCACAAATCCCTACTGATGGCTAGAGAATAACACTACCTGCAGATGGCCCAGGGTGGTCCATCATCAGGAAGAGCATTTCAGCAAGAACTCCTCTGCTCCTGTTGTGTGAGAAACCTGAGAGGCTGCCCTCTAAAAACTTCATCTCCTTGTTCCCTATCCCTTCTTCCCTGCTGTGAACTTCTTGTCTTCTTTCTTCTATTCAAAAATTCCTCCCTTAAAAGATCACAAGAAGACTGACAAAAGAAAATAGTGCAGGGGTTTGACGATGATGAGTAGCATACTCTGTATAGTGAAGTTCTATTACATGTAGTCAGAGTTCAGACCAAGTTGCTATCGGGTCGCCATCTAGATGGTTTATCTTGAACAAATCTGGAAAATCTGATGCTGGAGAGTCACCTTTCTTTCCTGGCAGACTCTCCATTGCGAAATGGAGTCTGCAAAAATCAGTGGTCTGACCAATCCTTCATTCCTTCAGCAAGTACTTCTTAAGGGAAAAAGAATGAGAGCCTCAGCCAATCTCACAGCAGCTTTTTATCCTCCAGAGACTTCCCAGGAATCTAATGCGAGCACTCTGTGCCAAGTGTCAAGAAGCAAAAATACACACATAAGGAATTATTCTTGTCTCTCCAGAAATGGTTACTGGTCCTGCCTGTGGTCAATGAATGTGTGTCTACAGTTATCTTTCAGGCCTCTTGGTCTAGAAGCGTAAGATCTAAATATGAATGAGGTTTCTCACCCTGAGTCACACTGAGACCTGAGAGTTGATAAAAGCATGTGTGTGTGGCAGGTGGAGTGGGTCTGGGTGCCACATAAGGCAGGTAATTAGAAAATGGTGTTTAGATTTTATTCCTCTTTTCTTCTGCGTGGGAGCACGTTCTGAGAGGAATCAAAAGCCAGAAGCAGCAATGGACAAGCAGCAGATTTTAAGGGATGGTAGGATAAGTGTTTCATTGAGGAAGCTTCAGCTGCAAGTATGATTTAGTTAGGAAGAGTCTGTGCTCCCGGCATTCCTAAATGTGATCATCTGCATTCAGGACAAATTGAGATAACTCTGCAAATTCATGTCCCTTGTTCTCTACCCTTTCCTTCCATGCCACAAGTAAGACCTTGTTTTTCTTACCTTTAATTATTCCTACCTTGAATTTAAGCTTGGTTACAGTTTTGCTGCTGGAAGACCAAGTCCTCCCAATGGCCTGAGACTTCACCTTCTATGGTGGATTGACACACTTACCAACTACAGAACTAACATGTCATGTAGGAGAACACTGCGCTTTCAGTCAGCAGCGCAGACTGTGTCTCATTATACTTGAGGCCATCATGCCTTGAGAAATCCACTAACTGTCTGCTTTAATTTTTTCTCACAGGTTTTTTCAAAATGCAGCGCTACAAAGGTAAGCAGAAAGGAAATGATGGACACGAATTCTCAGAGCCTGGCTGCACCTCTGAAATACAAACCCAGCCCAGGTGCAGAGTTGTATGGAAGACAACGTGCTCAGAGGAAGGAATGTCTGATAACTTCTTTCTTGTGCACTGCCAAAGACCTTATGTATGCTTGGCAGGAGGCATTTTAGCTGTGTGTAGCCAATAGTGGCTGCTTGCATTGGCCACTTCAGCCTCTGTAACACACTCCTCTCTTTGCCCTCTTTGGAGTGAGAGGGGATTATTTCACAGTATTGCACCTTGCTAGAGGCCTGTCCAGTGATCATAATGTGCAGAGGTTAGCTGGGTGAGAGGAGGGAAGAAATATTTCCTTGTTATTGCACCAGTGAAAATCACTCTTAAATTCTAACCCACAAATCATCTGAGTGTGGTCAAGAGAAATTCAAAGACATGTTTGAGCCCACAAAGTCTTTCTTGATGCTGAATGCCTTCTTCAGATGATCCCTGTTAGAGTGCCTTGCAGTTCATGCACCCTGGGTGGGCATCATGGTTTCAATAGCAGGCCAAGTATCATAGAATCATCAAATTGTAGAATCACCAAGGTTGGAAAACTCTTCTAAGATCATCCAGTCCATCCATCCACCTATCACCAATTGCTTCCACTGAACCATGTCCTTCAGTAGAACGTCTAAACACTTGAGTGCTTCCACGATTGGTGACTCTACCACATCCCTGGGCAGCCTGTTTCAAGCACCTGACCACTCTTTCAGAGGAGATGTTCACAGAGTCAAACCTGAATCTCTCCTGACACAGCATTAGGCCATTCCCTCTAGTCCTATTGCTAGTTATATGGGAGAAGAGCTCAACCCCCACCTCACCGCAACCTCCCTTTCAGGTAGTTGTAGAGAGAGATAAGGTCTTCCCTGAGCCTCCTCTTCTTCAGAACAAATAATTCCACTTCCCTCAGCCACTCCTCTTAGGACTTGTGCTCCAGACCCCATAGAAAAGCTTCATTGTTTTTCTATGGATATGCCACAGGGCTTTGATGTCTCTCTCACAGTGAGAGGCCCAAAACTCAACACAGTCCATAAGGTAGAGCTTCACCAGCTCTGAGTACAGAGGGATGATCACTCCTTGCTCTTGCTGGTAACACTTTTTCTGATGTAAGTCAGGATGCCATTGGCCTTCTTGGCCACCTGGGCACAGTGCTGGCTCACGTTCAGCTGACTGTCAAAAAATACCCCCATTCTGTTTCCTCTACACAGTCTTCCATACGCTTTGCTTCAAGCCTGTAGTGTTGCCTAGGATTGTTGTGGCCCAAGTGCAGAAGCTGGCACTCGGGGTTGTTGAACTTCATCCTATTCGCCTCAGCCCAGCAATCAGCTGGTCCAGATACCTCTGTAGAGTCTTCTGTCCTCCAGGCACTTCATCACATACTTCAATTGTGGGAATGAAGGGTCCTGGGAGAATGAGAGGGGAGAAGCTAGGGTACCCTGAGGCAATTAGCTACTGACTGCACCCTGAGTAGAGGGAAAGTAAGATGTGAGTAAGGACTAAGTAAAGAAAGCCTTAGTAAACCAGACCTTGTGTTTTCTGTTCCTTACAACATGACTTGATCACTGCAGTTGATGTCACCCTGAATGCTGACACGGCTCACCCCAGACTGGAAGTGTCTGAAGATGGGAAGAGCATGAATGATACCGGTGTGATCAGACAGGTGCCCAGCAAGGAGGAGAGATTTGATTCCCACATTTTTGTGTTGGCAAAGGAAGGATACACATCCGGAAGAAAATACTGGGAAGTGGATGTTGGAAAGAGAAGAAACTGGATCTTGGGTGTTGCTTCTGAGTCTGTGGCTCGTAAAGGGACTGTGAACCTGTCCCCAAAGAATGGCTTCTGGGTCATAGGGTTAACAGATGGGGAAGAGTATTGGGCGCACACGGATCCTTGGACTCGTTTGACAGCGAGTGGTAGACCACAGAAGATTGGGGTCTTCCTGGACATCTCTGCCAACAAGCTCTCATTTTACGATGCCAAAAAGAAATCAGCTTTGTACACTTTTACCAGTATTGGTGATAGCAGACTGGAAAGGAAATTCATTCCCTTCTTCTCAACAGGTTCTGGTGTCTCAGCACTTGATACTGAGCCATTGAAAATCGTGCAAGGGTTTGATGATGATGATTGAATGTGTGATTAAATACAGATTGTGAAATGAGACTGATATGTTGTCAAAAAATCCCCAACTTTGTGTTTCCCAGTGGAGTCTGGCTAGGTTGTTGGTACCAGAATTTTTCAGCACTGCTTGCTATTCCTGCTGTGAGGCAGCAGAAACAAGCACTAGAAATCACATTGATAAATGGAATATAGCACTCAGCATCCTTATGAACTCCTTATAAAACATGAGTTTTATTAAAGACTCGTGTGCGGAACTGAAATGTCTTTTCAGAGCAGGAGGTGCAAGATGTACCTTTCAATTTGATAGCCCCTGGCTGTTTTTTTCCCACCTCAGTCACGTGGAACTAAATTCAGTATCCAGGAGATGTCCAAAAGCAGATCACATCAGACTCATATAGTCAAATCTGCATCAGTCACATCGTGCTTCTTCTCTTCAGTTCAATTCATATGTATCTTCCATGCCATTTTTGTAGGTGTGAAGATCAGTTTGTGGTTGAAGTTCCTGTTCCTCTCCAGAGGCATCAAAGCATAGCAAGGGTTGGTCTGTCATTCCTAAGGGTCTAAAAGGTCTGATAAATTTTATCCACAGATATCAAATAGAGAATTATTAGGATTTTGCTATTTTTCCTACTAAAGCCTCAACTGTCTAGTCCAACAATCCTTTAAAAATGGTATGGAAGTCGTTCCTATCCCCTTATTCCAGTAGAAAACCTGAAGCATGGATGAGGGGCTTTGTAGTGTTTCAATGTCCTTCAATTCCCAACCAGTGATGATTGACATCTTCCACTTACCAGAATCAAGGTGCCAAAACTTCCTGCTTCAATCTGGGCATTGTAGACCATTCCAGACTTCCTTCTAATTGCAATTACTCACAATCAGTCAGTTAAGGGTCTGAATTTTCATGGAGTGTCTTTCTCAAAAGGGATTCTCAAAAAGTCCCAGCAGTTCCATGAAATTGGAAGCTTGTATTTCAGTAATTATTTACCTATTTTATACAGTAGTCTAAATTCTGTCAATGGAATTGTTCTAAATCATGTTTGATGAGACTGAACAACCTGCTTTAAGGTAAAGATGCCCTTTCCCATGACACAGAGTTTAGAGGACAGTCTTTAAAGGTCTTTTCCTACTCAGACCATCCCAAGTATGAAATGAAATGAAAACATGTAAAATCATAAGCAAGTGGAGAACCAAACAGTATGCGAAGGAAGATCACAAGAAGCATTCAGTGAAAGTTTTTGACAAATGAATAGCACAACTTTTGGAAGAATTAGGAGATATATTACATCAAACAGAAAAAAAAATGTTCTTCTTTCATATTGTAAGTTCTGGTTAGTGCCTATGAGTATCTACATAAATCCAAGTGTGAAAAATCCTGCCCTGTAATTCAGTGTAACCACAGTTTAAATAGAAATAAATAATTTCCTTTCTGTTATTTGCCCACGTCTTACTATTTTCCACTTACGTTTGCTCATGTCTCAAACTTCCAAGGGGTTTACAGACTGACTGAAGTTGGGGAGATACCCAGAGCAGGGAAGTCCACAAGCCCTGCATGGGTGAACAAGAATATCCCAGAAAAACTCAAACACACACAAAAAAGGGTTTTTAAATAGGTAGGGCATAATGTGGTTACTTGTCATACAGTATGGATCTGGGGTTAGATAGGGGCAGTAAACCCTTAGAGTTGAAACAGTTTATGGATTTCTTTCATAATCAAATCACTGATGGATCACATAGGAGGCTGCTGTATTTTATCACCTACACAACTTGATGCCCTTGAAGACGAACACAATCATAAGCTTCAGCAAAGTGAGCTTTTTATTTGTCTTGTTGGCATACATTCTGAGGATGCTATTCAAAGCCTGATCATGAAATTCATACCAGGATACAGAGCGATAGAAAGACACAGATGTACCTTGATTGCTGAGGTTTGCTGCTTCAGAACTGTCCTGGCCAGGACAGCAGTGACTGATCATGAGGTACAGAGGGGTTTGGTCGGCTCCTTCATCCAGGGAACCCTGAGATAACAGAGCAGCCCAGCAGCTCTCACCAGAGTGGCTGACGTGAGATGAGCATTGCCAGGGCAATTAGCCCTGCTAGTGAGTCTGCTGGTTTGCTGAGGCTGCACCCTGGTGGAAGGCTATTGCCAGGAAAAATGTGGAGACCAAGACCTCAGTCTAGGTCCTATGCACACATGGGAAGGCTGCTGCTAAGAAAAATGTGGGAACTCAGACTGAGGTACTGAAACAACACCCTAATGCACAGGTCTCTGGCTGCAGTGAAGTGCCAGAACCTGGCCTTTGCAGTGTTAGACAATGGAGACAGCACTTGTGTTAGATACAACCAAGTAAATGACTCACTCAGCCTTGTGGTTGACCTGAAGGAGAAGGTGGGGAGGCTGAGGAGGGAAATGTGAGAGGGAGATTGATTGGTGGCCCCAGTTCCTATCGGCCCTGAGATCTAGGCAGCCAGTTTAGGCTCCACATGGATCACATCACCCCACCCTGCAAACAGGTGGTGGAGGGGAGCTGGCAGGCAGGCAGTGTTCCTACTACTGTGAACCCTATGTCCTCTCCTCCTCCTAACAACAGTGATGAAGAATAGAGTCTCCAGTCCATTCAGGTCCTCTTGAATGGTAGCACAGCATTCAGGTGTGTCAGCCACTCCTCTCAGCTTTGTGTCATCAGCAAGCTTGCTCTATCCGTTCATCCAGGCCATTGATGAAGATACTGAAGAAGACCAGATCCAGCACTTACCCCTGGAGAACTGCTAGTTACAGGCTTCCAACAATACTCTGTGCCACTGATCACAGCCCTCTGAACTCTGCCCTCAGCCAGTTCTCAGTCCACCTCACCATCTACTCATCTATTCCATGCTACCTTCATTACAGCTGTGTGACACAATGTCACTTGCTGAAGTCAAGGTACACAACACTTACTGTTCTTCTCCCATCTATCATCCAGTGATGGCATCACAGAAGGCCACCAGGTTGGTGGAACACGATTTCCCCTTGGTGAATCCATGTTGGCTTCTCCTGATAACCTTCTTATCTTCCAATTACTTGTAGATGACATTCAAAACAAGTTGTTCGATCCCTTTTTCAGGGATGGAGGTGAAGTTGGCTGCCCTGTAGTATCTTAGATAATTTTTCTTGCACTTTTTGAAGACTGCAGTGACATTGGCTATCTTCCAGTCTTCTATTTTCTTTGCCTGGACAGACTTGCCATAGTGCTTTGTTTTGTTTTTTTTTTTTTTTGTGGTGGTTTATACATGACTTGGAATTCACACCCAATCTCAAGAATACTTTCAACCAAAGTCAGAAACTGTTCGTATTCTCTTAGTTGAGAAGAAGTAAGATAAAAGCTATTTTACTTCAAACTGTTTTTTTTTCTACTTTTTTTCCCATGTTTTCTTTTTTTTCTTCTTGAATCCTACTTTCCTTGTTTTATGACATCCTAAGATGATGTTACCTCTCCTCCCCTCTGCCCTGACCACTTAAAATACAAAACAAATAAACAACAAAAAAAATTTGCAGTTAAAAAAAAACACAAAAACAGCAACAAAAAACTCCACTTTGATTCTATAAGACACTTTATTCAAAATCTCATTTTACAGTGGCTCCAAAGGGACAGGGGTTAATACTGGGTGGATAACAGGTGTGTCTGCCTCTCCTCCTTTGGATAAAAATGGGAAAAACATTTCTGTAGGTTCCTTTCCAAGATTTATAGGGATTTTTACCATGGTGGACATCTGATGAGCTTCGTAAAAGTTTATTTGTGCTTCCTCCAAGTCCAGAAGCACACCAATCACTGAGTCATTCATCTCCTTCTTCTCAAAACTGATGTTTCCCTTGATAGAGAAAATGTCTCCCTTGGATTTCTGCAGAGCCCAGAAGTCCTCTCTAGCAAGTGTCTCTTGCTCCTCTTGTTTTCCTTTCTGCCTTATGACCCCCAGCACCCAGTCCTGCTGCTGGCCCACATCCACTTCCCAGTAGTGTTTCCCAGATGCAAACCCTTCCTTTGCCACCAGGACAGGGATTGTGGAGGGGCTGCTCAGGTCAGCAGGTTCAGTTGCATTGCTTTCAACATCTGGAGCTCCTGGCACTTGGATCTCAAGGAGTTGGCATTCAGGGTTCACAGTAATGGGAACTGGAGGGGAAAATGAGATAACAGTGCTTCAGGGACCTCTATGTTCAGGGTGAGATGGGTTGAAGCATTTGAGGATCCGGGCAGTCCTGGCATGATTTGACAAGGAATTGAAACATTTCCCCCTAACAGGGCAGGAATCAATCACATACGAACTAACAGGACCTTGTCATAGCCATAGTGTTCTCCCTTGTGGGCAATTCCAGGTGATTCTCTCCCTCTCCATACAATATAAAATTAAATAATACAACAGCCACAAGCCTCATTCCCTTCTAACCAAGCCAGGTGAAGGCTTACTCCTATGACTCCAGCTCAGATGTTCAATTTCTAAGATCACAGCATTGTCATTTCAAGGGAACTTGGTCAAAGAATTTTTTTGTACACTCCTTCCCTTCAGTTTTACCTGCATAGCTCTGGGCTTCCCAGAAATCTGCAGAAAGGAAAAAGATGATAGGGTTTTATTATTCCATTGGCAATTGCAGACTTCTGAAACTAATGTACCGAAAAAATTACCCCCATACAATTCTTGTCACCTCTGATTCTCTATCAGTTTTGGCTTAGGTCCTCTTAACTCCACAATTCTTCTTGTTATCATTTTTAACGACTTACCCAGCTCAGCTTTCAGTTTACCTGCAAGGGAAAGATATTTCAGTCAATAACACTTGGTTCTTTTTATATTCTCATTATGGTTTTATAAAACAGAACAACCCTAGGGCATGAAATAGGAGAGAATTCTGGAAGCCGTAGTGAGGAACATTTTTATTCATGCTATTTAAATATCAGCATCAGTGCTCCAAAGGGAGGGGCACAAAGTTGTCCTCCAGACTCCATCAGGTCTGCATTTACACAGCATTACCTCAGATATGTCTTGAAAAACCCTTTAGTAAAGCAGGTGAGGGACATCTGAAGGACAGCTTAGATGGGATTATTCGAGGAAAATTCTAGTTTTATCTCTGGGCTTCTTTTTGCTCTCAGAAAGATATATTCTTGTGCTCTGTCTGGTCTGGATGTGTCTTTTAACTGCTCTCATGATAAGGATGCCTGACTTTCTGAGAAGATAAGACAGGTCTGGGTCATCCTTAGAAGGGTTCTTCTACTTTGTGCTGAGCGGCCAGGTTATTTCTGTGGGCGTTCTGGAAGCAGTTGAATCCAAAACAAGCTCCCTAATAGGCTCTGGATTTTCACACAATCCTGAAATACATTCTCCAGAAGAGAGAAGGCCAAAATTATATCAGAATAAATCTGATTCTACCTAAAAGCCTGGTGGTGGGAGCCTTTCATAAAAAGAGATTTGGGCAAGATTTCTTGACTGCTGCTTCACCAGAAGAGTTTGGAACTGACTTTTTTTCTCTCCAGGAAATGCATTAATGCTACAGTGCTGAAGAGTGCTTCATCTACTTGTCTTCATGAGCTTTCTGGAGCAGATTCAAGTCAGAGGGCTGTTCTAGCTGACTGGAAGAAACTGTTGTCTATCTTGCAGCACTCCCTGCTACCAAAACCTTGGCATGTCATTCCAGTGCAGTTTCTAACTGTAATGTCACCAATTTGACTGAAGCAGCTCTAAATAATTTTCGTGGCAAATGGTTCAGAGACTGAATAAAAGACCTGCTGTCCCCTAAGCCTGTGGAGTCAGGTGCAAAAAGATGAAATAAAGTGAAAAACAAGTGCATGTAGTATGAAGATAAGTTTATATATAATATGTATTTTGTGAGGATTGCTCTGAAGGTAATGTCTACTATTTTATTCTGTTGGCCGACCATGTCAGAGGCGTGTGTTGGTGAGATGGCAATGGAAGTAGAACCTTCTTGCCAATAATTCATTACATTTTGTTGCCATGTGACAGATGGCAGCAGAGGGGCACTCTGACAAATTGGCATCTGACACAGAAACGCATATGAAGCAAAGGTGTGTAATTGAATTCCTCCATGAAGAAATAACTGCACCCTGTTGACATTCATTGATGCTTCCTGAATGTTTATGGAGACCAAACAGTGTATGTGAGCACAGTGAGGTGGTGGGTGTTGAGTTTCAGCAGTAGTAACAGTGAGAGAGGCTCACCTCCATAAGTGCAGCTCTTTTATAGGATAAAATCCATTAGAAATCCATGGTATCCAGATCTTTATTGTGAAGTTAGGCCTGGAAAAATTGTGGCCAAGAAAAGGTAGTCTAGGCTGGTCATACAGTAAAGCAGCAGGACAGCAACCATGGTGAGATTATTTTTTTTTAAGAAAAAACCAGAACCTTGTAGATGGATGTTTCACCATATTTGTTCCATTTCACCATCTGGGATGGCACTGACAAACTCATCTGAAGAATTTTATTATTGTTTCTATGCTTGACGGGATTGTAAGGTGTATATAAAGTGTGTTTTCTTACCAAAGCGGCCTTTGAGTTTGGATTTTTCTGAAAAATAAGAACATAAATAAGTGATACAAGAACTCCAGGAAAACAACAGCAACAACAAGAAGCATTTGTGAAAATAACATAACAGTTACATGCCTATTCTTTCCTTCTGATAAGCATACACTTATATACATACAGCAGAGCATACACTCCAGTTGAAGGTAGAGAGGTAAATATCAATTTTCTACCATCTAATCATCTCTACTAACATATCCAAGAAGTCATTTAAACTAAAACCGAGCTAAATAAATAAAGCAATTTATTCCATTGTGTCTAAACCGCATCCATCCTCAATTATTGAAGAAAATGAGATTTACCTCTTCGATTTGTGGCTTTCTCTTGTTCTAATCAGTTCAGCAGACAGAATGAAAGGAAAAAAACACACATAAATGTGATAGTTATTGGATATAAACTTACTAAGTGGACTATTATGTTTTATATGTATGGACTTTCCATAAATTTTCACTGTTAAAGTTGAGTAAATATTCTGAAGAAAGTCTTAATGTTATTCTGCTTTACAACTAGGACACATGCACACACACAGAATCTACAGTGCTTAGCCTTTCCTTATTACCTTTGGATATTTCCACACGAGAATAATGCAATTCATTGAAATCCCTTGTTCAAATTAAAAAGCACTATCAAGACTAGTAATCACATCAAAACCAACTGGCAAACAAACAAACAAAAAGAAAATCAGACAATTCTCCATCTTCAGAGCAAAGGCATCATATTTAATGAACAGCAAAAACATCTTACCTAACATCAACTTCAGTTGTTCATTTTCTGGAAGAGACAATACACAGACACCAATGCATCCCGTGGCAGAAATACCAATAATACTCAAAAATATCAATATGCAAACTGCAAAATCACATAGCATGGTGTCCTTGTGCGTCCTTGGAGCTTGGCTACTTTCACTGCACTGTCAACTGCTTCAAGCAGGTGTAAATCCAGAGGAAACCAAATAATTCACCCGCGAATGGATCACAATATTTTAACTGTATTAGATGTAGGTAACTGATAAAACTTGAGCAAGGTGGAAAGACAGTTTATTTGTACTGCTGGTACATTGAACACCTCCCTACAAGGACAGACTGAGAGCTGGAGCTGTGCAGCCTGGAGAAGAGAAGGCTCCTAGGAGAGCTGAGGGTGGCATGTCAGCATCTAAAGGAGGCTGTCAAAAAGACCTGGACAGATTCTTTAGCATGATCTGCTGTGACAGAACAAGGAAAAATCATTTCAAGCCTGAAGAGAGATATTTAGGCTGGATGTAGGGAAGTAGTTTTTTATAGTAGATTGGTTGAGGCACTGGAACAACTTAACGTCATCACAAATGCAAAGGGATTTTACCTTCTTCCATCGTTTTCTTCAATTTTACTAAAAAACAGAGAAAAGCAGATCATCGTGTTAGCTACTCTTGTGTACGCCGCTTATTCTGCAATAGTGAATTTTAAGTGTAAATAGAAACAAGTGGGGTTAAAAGTTAAATTTAATTTAACCTGGTATATTTTCTAAGGCTCCTGGTTAGCTCTACTTTTCCAGACCAAGGGGGATATCATTTCTAATAGAGTTACACACACAAAAGGGAAGATTTATGAAGAGCTGCTGAAGTCACTTTGTTTATTTAAAGAGGAGCCTGAGGAAAGACCTCATCACTGTCTAGTTATTAAAGAATCTGAGGAATGCTTCTGATGCTTTAATTAGGCATGATTAGACAGGAAGTTTAACTAGGAATGATGGAAAATGTTAGTCAAATGTCAGTCCACATATAGTAATGACTAGGGCTTAATGAAAGCAGGAGCAGACTATTTATAAAATACATATGGAAAAAAGCTCATGCAAGATGTTTTTACACTGAATGGTGCAGAACTAAAATGAAAAACTAAGACATTTGTCTATAACAATTACTAAATAGTCCATAAATATTTCCTTTATTTAAATATAAATAATCCATATGCTTTACAAAGTGTCATATTCTTCATCTTCATCGTCTCTTACCTGAATTAATTGTTCTCTTGTGGTTACCTGGTTTACAACAACAAAACAAACAAAAAAGAACAAAATGACTTTTGAAGAGTAATACTGAGAGCGATCATTTATCTGGTTTCTCTCTACTGTCATGGGTAACTCTCTGGAATTGTGTCCCTAATGAATACAGAGAGGGTCTTAGGCATGTAGTTGAGCTCATAGAGCAATCCTTGTCAGATCTAACGTTGTCTGAGGTAAGGACAAGCAATGTGTCTTACCCCTTGTTCAGCCCATGTACTTCCCCGCTCTTTTATTGTTCAATTTCCTGAATTCACTCATGAAATAATCACTGGTCGATTTGATTGTAAGCTTTTGTTGCAATCACGAATTTCAATATGATACTTCTGTACACTATTTGAAAGAATATATGAAGAAATACTTACTTTTTAGCTTAAAAAATACAACACAAATTAGGACTGCGATAGCACATAAAATTACCAGGTAGGCAGCCGGCCATTTTGAAATGGAGGGGAAGAAAATATCTGCAAAAATGAACAAAAAGGTGTTGTATTATATTAATGAGTTAAATAAAAACAACTGTAACTCAGGATGTAATCAAGGAGATGGTGAGCTTGTATTTTTCTTTGATTTTCCTAATAAAATTGCTGAAGAAGATACCTGGTACAAAGGGAGCAGTAATTCAGGGAGAGTCTTTCTGTGGGTACCAAATTTGAGATATGGAGAAAGCTTTGAGAAGTTCATAAATCTGAAGGAATTCTTTTTTCCCCACAAGTGTGTTGCATTTCATACTCAACTGACCACAAAGCAGGAGATTTAAAGAAGGAAGAAGTCATCAGTACTGAGCAAGACTCAGTATTTCCTTCCTTCCTTCCTTCCTTCCTTCCTTCCTTCCTTTCTTTTTCTTTCCTTCTTTCTTTCTTTCTTTCTTTCTTTCTTTCTTTCTTTCTTTCTTTCATTTTAATTCAGCTCTGTCCACTGACATCTCTAAATGTGAACCAGGGAACACGAAGTTTTGTTAATATCTGAGTCTTCTTTTTTTTGAAGGAGAAAATTGGATGCCACAAAGACTGTGTAATAAACTAGAAAAAAAGGTTGCAGAAGATTGCAGCTCTCGAGACCTTTTGTCCAACAGTGGTTCTGGGACTATATTTTTGGGCCAGCTCGTGACATAAAAATGGGACCCACACCATTTTTCCTATCTTTTTGATCTTACAAGTAGATGACTCTGCTCACTCACCTGAAATCAGCACTCGGGATTCGCTCATTGTCTTCAGGAGATTGTTAACTATCCTGCAGGAGACTTCCATGTCAGATCCTGGTATTAGGTTCATGGAACTTAGGACACTGTACAGGCCTGAAGGCATCATCATAACTTTTGTGGTTGATAGTTCCTTCCTGATCTGTCCTTGGCCATCCAACCAAATCACTTCAGGTTTAGGAAACCACCCATCTGCATGGCAGGTGAGGCCAATGCCCTCTTTCCTGGGACTCCTCAGGAAAATGGAAGGCACACTACCTTTAGCTAAGGAGAAAACATACTTGTAAGTTTATATTCTTATAATGTTGCCAGTGGAATCTCCCTGTATTTGGTGAAAAATATAAAAACCTCATAAAATGAAGAAAATTGGTGAATTACAGGAAGCCTGTGAACAACTAGTGCAATCTGTTCATGAAAACAGAATTTATTAGAGTCTCAGGTTAGGTATTTCAAGTAAAATTCGTGCTGACATAGTGAAAAAAATAAAAATAACATCATATTGTTTATATTCACGGACTCAGATGACTAAATTACAGTGTTACATAGATATTAAATCTTTGCCTCCTCTGGAATTAACTATGAAAACATCTTCAGGAGAATCTGGCTGTAATTTTTAGAAGCCACTATGCCCATTTTCCACCTACAAACAGGAGGGGAATCAGCTCTTTGAAAGGGTAGACAGCAGCAGGACAAGGGGAAATGGTTTTAAGTTGAGGGAGGGAAGACCTAGGTTGGATTTCAGGGAGAAGTTCTTTACAGAGAAAGCAGTGAGGTGCTGGAACAGCTGCCCAGAGAGGCTGTGGATGCCTCATTTCTAGAGGTATTCGAGGGCAGATTGGATGGGGCCCTGGGCAGCCTGGTCTAGTATTAAATGGGGAAGTTGGTGGGTCTGCATGTGGCAGGGGGGTTGGAGATTCATGATCCATCAAGTCTCTTCCAACCCCGGCCATTCTGCTATTCTGTGATTTAAGGAAAATTGGATCCAGCGCAGCAGAGAAAGAAAGGAAAAATGTGCTCAATTCTAAGCCAGCCACATTAATAAGAGCTACCTATGAAGATGGTATCTATTAATATACTGAAATAAAAATAGGAGCATTGTCCACTGCTTTGTTTTCCTGATACGGGCAAGGGAAGCAGTGAGGTACTGGGATGAAACGAATTGATTGTACCTATCCCAATTGATATCATCATAGAGAGAGACTGGACAATAGGTTCAATAATGGCTGATTGCAGAGTAGAAACCTAGATTTAGCTGAATAATAACAGAGCTTTCTAAACTTGCTGTCTAGGCTTCCGTTGAACCTGAAAGGAGATTGTACCACCAGGTCACATAAAGATGCTTGGTATCTCAAGATAAATCTGTCCTCACATAGTCAGAGACAGGCATTTATTTAGAGAAAGCAAACACAAGTCAAACATTCTTCCATGGAGAAAATTTATCAATCAAATTACATTAAAATTACATTTCTCTCAGTCAGTGGTGGACATACATGCTTCTGTTCATCTCCATTTTTGAATAATGCATGAGAAGAGCCACTAACCTGCTACTTGCAGTTCAATCAGCACATCACGGTGCTCATCATTGAAAGAGACCACACAGGTATACAATCCTTTGTCAGAACTTCTGATATTCTTCAAATGCAGAGACATGTTTCCAGTTTTAAATTCACTGTGGAATAGTTCTATTCTGCCTTGATATCTCTCATCTTGCTTTTCATTTTTATTTTTTCCATGGTATGTGCTCACCGTTATTTTTTCAGTCTGTCCGTTAAATATCCACTGGACAGAGAATATCTCAGGAATGTTCTCTGCTACCACATAACAAGGCAAAATGACCTCTTCTCCAATGACTCCAGTGATGGAACTACGAGGCGAAGAGCTAATAAACTGACCTGTGGAGAGTAAAAATGACAGCTGTTTTCATTTGTCCATATCATATTTTACTTGGAACTACATCAGTCAGTAAATTGAACTAATATCACTATCAACAGAAGAGCAACCTAGAACAAAAGTAGAAAACAGCATGGCAGGGTGCTTAGATGAACAATATTCCCATTCCTCAATTTTCTGAAGATGAGCTTAAGAAAGTTCAAGACCGTTAAGTGGAAACTGAGAAATCGTGAAAAAAAAGATGAAAACTGACAAAGTCTGTCAAAGATCCAACATAGGATGCAGGATCTATAGGACAGAAAAAATGAAGGTGGGATACAGTTTTTCAGATGGTGGTACCTGGTATCATTTAGAAAGTGATAGTGTGTGCATCTGATCTGCCACCTCCATGTCAATCATTTAATTAAATACCTTGTCAATTAAGCTCTAGCTAATTGTTCCATTCATTCTACAGTCAAGAGTGAAGTTTGTTCACTGAACGCAGTAGAGTTTCTTGAACACTTGCATTTCATGACCTCAGACATCAGGACTGGTAGAAGTGACTTCAGGATACATGCTGGCTATGTATAAAAACACAGATCACAGCCTGAATTGGTGACTAGCCCAGAGAAAGATCTTGTGTTAGCTTGGGAACACAAGTAAAGTGCCTCAGCCTGCACTTCAGTCCATCCCAGGATGGACACTGTACCAGCCAGCCATCCCCAGTGATAAGAGCTTGCTAGTGATTGTACCAGCTGGCTCACCCCAATATGAGTACCTCTCTATTTAATAGATGAATATCAACTTTCTCCTGTGTACTTTCTTCAGGATCAATAAACTTTACACAGAAGCTGGCATTATTCCATTACATTGAATCTGTTCTCTTTTGGAGCACCCATGCTCAAAGAAGAAAAGCCTGCAGTACGCAGAATTTGGGTAATTGAGTGGAATCCTATACACTGAGCTTGTTTGTAGACATCTGCCTCTAGAGAGCTAAAGATAAACAGCTAAATCTCTGAGCTGAGCCCATACTCTCAGGCATGACATGGTTGGCTACATCTAGAAGTCTAGAGCTGAATTCCACCTGGCTTCCATTCCCTGATGGAAAGTCTGTAAGTCCCCTTCTGGCTGATGTTATCTTCCAGTCTTGATATCAGATTGTACAAGGGGTATTCTTGGTGTTTTTAGTTAGAAGTTAACCAAGTAAAAAAGAAATAAATTGTGTGCTCATTATTTATTTCTTTTATGTGAACCTAGGCATAATTAAAATGAAATATATTTAAAATTGAACTATTTTACCTGTAATCAAGCATGATAAGTGTTGAAAAGCCAGAACTTGAAAAGGTGTCAACATCCAAGACGGGAAACCCAACATTATCCAGGTTTCTTAATCATCAACACGACTGAAAGTAAATCTTCCAGGTGAAATTCCTGTGGGACTCCTTTGGTCTCTTCGTGTGTTCAGTGTAAAATAACAGGCATAAATGCACATGTAATATAATGAGGAAAAGTATGAACAAAGATGAAGACATTGTGTTGCATGCAGTCAAAGGCAATGACATTTGCAGAGCATCTGTCTTAACAGATCTATCAAATTTAGCTACCTATTGTAAATCATTCAAAAGCAATATGATCTTTGTCTGCTCTGTTCAGTTGTCCATGCTTACCTTTGTCTTCCAGAAACTCCATTACCTTCCTTGGCAATATTTTCGTTCAGTGAGAAGTTAACATTATTGTATCTTTTGTTTGTAGCAAAAAGCTCTTTCTCTTCTTTCTCTCTTAATGAAAAACAAAACAAAACGGAACCACCTTCATGGATAAATTCCTAAGCAAAGTGTTCCTTTACCAATCTCCCTGTTGACTTCCATGAGCATTTTAAGGAGAAACTTGTGATTTAACAAAGGTAACTCTTTCCAACTTCCTGCAAAGAACTTGGTTTTCAAAGTCATTGCTGAACTAATCCATACTCATCATGTACTCAGTAAAAATTAAGTGGTGTCATGTCTTTAAATCTCACTAATTGGAGACAAAACATTTCCTGCTCTCCTCCACCTTTCTGTGTGGTTTTCTTTTTCTCACATTTCCAGTAACTGATAAAAATCAAGTCAGAGGGAGGCATTCCCACCCGAATAACAATGCAACTACAGCAAGCAGGTTCATGTCCGTCAGTGCATTCCATTAAATCTACAGCAATTAATTCCAGTATCATTATAAATGCAGGGGATTTTCCTTATGATTGCAGAAAAAATATAATTTCTTACCTGAATAGAACGAACCTTAAGACTTATGTAAAGGATATGGTAGTTTTGAACCTTTGTCCTCATATCTTTATTACCAGGGAAACTTGTGATTGCATTTTTAACATCCAATAGGATAGAGAGGCTTGACCAGACTGATTGGGAAAAATGTAAATGTCAAAATTCATGCTGAAAGACAAAAATATCATCTTGCCTCCCGATCCATTTCCATACACTAGGGCAAACAAGGTAGAGATATTCCTCCTCATTCCCCTGTGCAAACCAGCTCCCTCTTCAACCAGCATTTAGCCAGAAAGCGCTGCAATAAGACTTACAAGTGTATAATGAACAGATTGTTAGGTATATTGTTATTAGTATGTTTTATTTTGTTTTTCCTATCACATGCTTGAATGTTGAGCTCTCTTTGTTGACATGCCTAGATCCTGGAAGTGTGTTTTCTCATGTAATACTTTTTATGTTCCATTCAAGATCTGAAAACAATCACATTGGAAGTTTACTCATTTTTGGACTTCAGTGATTCTGATTTTGCTGCTTTTTTTTTGTTTTGTTTTCTTTTTTCTGTTGGTTTGTTTGTTTCCATTTATTTATTTATGTATTTATTCCTTAAGCAAAAGCACGGCTGTGGAAATCAGGATTCTGAACATAAAGCGTTCCAGTCTCCTTCATCTTTCTGGCTTTTTAAGCTACTCTGATTGTTTTTAACCAAATCAGATCTAGCGGTAGAGTTTTTCAGAAACAAAAAATCTCTCTAAGGTCTATGAAAAGAGTTGTTCCCAGGGAAGGTAAATGATTAGGTTTAGGATTAGGATTAGGCTACAATCAAGATTTGAATAAAGCTGGTGTAATTAAATCACTGCATTTCTAGCTTACTTCAATTTCCTACTTGGCCTCTGACTTCTATATTCATATTTCTGATTACAAATCATTCTAAAGGATAACGGACTTAGGCAACTACTGATTCTGGTTTCTCTGTCTCCTGTTGATGCTGTTTTCCATTTTAATGTCGTAATTGTCAGAAAATCTTAATAGCATATGAATTGTTCTGCAAAGGTATGAAAGTGGTTGAAACACAAACCTGTTGCTGCACGTTGGACCTAGGTGTGTAGGAAAATCAAACCTTCAGGTATCTCCTGCAATCCTTTGGACCAAAGGGCAGTAATTTCCTAGGGTTGAAGTTCAGTCTTTCATATTTGTCAACTTCAGTGAGCAAACCACTGAAGTCCACTATCTGTATAAGTAGGGAAAATGGAAGTACTTGTGTTCAGGGAATGCAAGATAACTGCAAAGTGACAAAGATTCCTCAATTCTGCAATACAAGCTGTATTTAAAATGGATCGTTTGGTTCATGCCATTCAGGTAAGGAATGAAAGTCTGGCTGAAACAATGCTGTGCACTCACAAATGTGAGGTTTGCATGAGTATCGAGGTGGCTGTTTGCCCTTTACATTCCCCAGGGAATGGTTTCAGCCCTGGATTAAAATGGCTTCTTTCTCGTCTAGATAAGTGGGAGTACATTTTGGAGTTCTGTGTGCAGCATTTTAAACAATTTGCTAAAGGTTGTTTAAGGTTCTATCTTTCTAATACTTTAATGTATGCATGAATACAATCTTCTTTCTAAAGAATGGACGAGGCATAACTCTAATCTATGATTATAGTTCTACATCAGAAGCTACCAGCTAGCAGAGTCTTTCTTAAAGTCTCTGAAATGCTCATTTATTTGCTGAAAATTTGCTTGAAAGAGAGTTTCCTGAAACTTTTCTCATGATTGGGCTTGTGTTGAGGGCTTGTGTTGAGGTCTGGGTTTGTGCAGAGTCGAAAAGTAAAACTGAGAAGACTCTCTAAAACGATTACTGGTGTTAGTAATTAGAATTTGTTCCAAAATAATGACAATATCTTCTTCTTTCAGATGCACTAGAAACTGAGTTGGGTAAGTGGTTTAAAATCTTTGTTTTCTTGGAATACGTACTGCTGCTTTAGGTAACGTCAGGCCATGGATAAAATCGCAGTGATGGCAATAACTGCACATCAGAAGGAAGCAGAAGACAGGCTTACAATTACCCAACTGTGCATGAGATTCACAAAACCCTTCTGTCTCTTTTCCTTCTGCAGCTTCCTGGAGAGCTCAGGACAAAGCAGGTAAGCAGACAGGAGAAAAGACAGGAAAATGGTGCACTTCTCTGTCCAAATTCTCCTGAAATGGCAATGCCATGATCTTAGAGATCAGGCAGCTGAGCTGGAGTCACAGGAATAAGCCTGAATGAGCTGAAGTCAATAGCATAAGCCTTCACTGGATAAAATGAAACAAGGTTTGGATGAGACAATTGGAAATACTGAGAAAAGGAGTTGCAGAACTGTGTTGTTGTAAGGTATTACAACTATTAAGAGAATGGATGGAGAAATGGAAAATTAAAAGAAACCATGTGAAGGGTGAGAGAGTCACCTGGATTTGCCCACGAGAGACTTCATGTCCATGACAGCTCCAAGGGCCTGTACCTGTGGGCTCCTACGTGTCTGTTGCTTGCCTTCTTTGGGGGAAATGTTAAAAACTTTGAAACCCTGAAGTAATCTGACCAATCTTCCCCTGAAGATGGAGGTCCCAGAGGCTCACTGGATCATTTTTGTTTTCTCCTCCAGTTCCCCCTACTGCAAACAATGAATGCTGACTCCTCAATCTCCAAGAGTCAGGCGCTCCAGATGTTGAGGACAATGCATGAGAACCTGATTGCTTAGCAGCCCCTTCATAGTCCCATCCTTGTGGGGAAGGAAGGGTTTGCAGCTGGAAAATAATTCTGGCGAGTCATTATCATGTCCAGATTACTTGGATATTCTTCCTGGTCTTTGACTTGTTTATTCAGACTTTTAATTAAAACCATTCAACTGTGTAATGGACTCAGGCAACCCAGTTTTGCATTAAGGGGTAGTTATTCAAGACTGTGCTGTAAGTCCAGTCGTGTCTGAGTGGACTCACATGGCCACTCTTAAGGAGCCTTGTTCTATTCCATGAGAGCTCTCATGGCTAGTATAATGAATCATGCTGTTTATTTCAGCAACAGATCACAGATTCGTTTGGATCACCTGTGATAATTACAGTGTCAGCAGCACATGTGCAGGAACCAAGAATGTGAAAGGAAAAAAAAAAAGGGAATAACTCTATAGGGATTTCTAAGTTTCATGGGGAAGTACTCTGTACAGCCAAGTGCTGTCTCACCCGAGATGTGTCCCTAAAGGGGAGAAAGGGAAGATTCTGCAGCCAGCAATGTCCTCCTAAGTTGTCTACAATGGTATTTTGTCTGAATTCCTCCTCTTCTAGGACATTTTAATAGGATTTTTTTCCCTTTCATGTAGGCTTGTTTAGCAAAAAAGAAAACCAACCAAACTACACACATTAGTTTAAGAACAGATAGATTAGTTTACCAAAAGGACTTCATGTGTGCTTGTTCTAAGATTTTCCAGTTTAGCGTTGCTTGGTATGTGAACAGCCTTGTTTTGCGTGATCCTTGCTTCACTGAAGCCACAACGACCACTTTTTATCTATCCCAATAGTATGCACTGGGAGCTCCCTTGTATCCACCGGGTGTTTCATATAAATTGTTTTGAGTTATGGTGTAGCAAGATAAAAAGTTGTTCATTATGGCGCAACAAACAGGAAATTTGCCAAATGGGGGAAAAAAGCTGAAGGTAGTCCAAAAGTCACTGTGAAGAATCTAAAGCTGAAATAAGGAAGTAGGTGCTCATACAGATGCACCACGTATGCCCAAAGAGACACCAGCATACATTAAAAAGCTCTTGAAAAAATAATGAATATGTACATCATTTCTGGTAAAAATGTTGCATGTGTATGTCTTTACTGCTTAAAAGTTGAACCTGAACTCCAAGGGTTTCAAGCATGCTTTATCTGCCAAGTTGCCTGGTATGTGTCCTGAATTAAAAGGAATGCCTGCTTTTTGACACCACATTTGAGTTAGAGTGTTTTCTTCCCAGACTTTCTGATGATCCTTTCAGGTACCTTATTGTTACTTTGTGCCTTCAGGACCTTGTTGTAGCATCCTGCCCATAAAGAGTGAGAAGGGCTGACTAGATTCACAAATACCAGCAGACATCACAGTCTTGAACTGACAAACAGCAATGAAGACTGCAGAGAAAATGATGACCTGAGGCCTCTTTCAAGCATTCTTTTATGCATGCTAGGTTTACAGGTGCACCATCCCAAGGTTGTAAGCAAATAAGTCTGCAATATCAGATTTCTCAAAAGTGACTCGTCATCCATATCTTTGTTGTGATTGATTAAATGGAAAGCTGCTGGCTCAGGGTGACAACCCTGCAGGCTCCCAGTTCCATGGTACCACCAAATTCCCATCTCTACATGTTTATCTCAGTTTGGCTGAGTGGTTTTCACTCTGCTCTACAATTGTAACACTTACAGTCAGCACATCACATTCTCCTGGTGTTAGTAACATCGAAATTTGCCAGTTTATGTTGTTTAGAACAGACTCCCTGCATGTTCACCTCATTCCACCATGCAAGTTTTCTCCACTCTGTACTTTCTCTTAAGAGAAGAATGACTGCAGTCACTCTTCATAACATTTATAAGCAACTGGGGAGGTCGAATGCAGTCTTATGAAGATCACAGCTCAACAGGTTCTTGGGCTGCTCACTTTTGATAGAGTAAGATGATTGCATCAGACTCACAGCACTGCCCAAGCTGCAGAAAGCAAAGATAAGAAATGGGAGAAGAATGTTCTGCCTGCTGTAAGTGAAGGTCAGGTTCGAGGCCATCAAAAGGACCGGAAGGTACACAAATTGAATGGATGAAGCAAGGTCTGTGGGTACTGAGTACTAGCAGGTAAAGTTGTCAAGCCACTATCCATCGTATTTGAAAGGTCATGGCAGACTGATGAAGTTCTCATTGACTGGAAAAGGGGAAACATAACCTCCATTTTCAAGAAGGAAATAAAAAAGAAGATCCAGGGAACAGCAGGCCAGTCAGTGTCACCTCTGTGCCTGGAAGCATCATGGAGGAGATGCTCTTGAAGGCCCTACTAAAGCACACAAGAAATAAAGATGAAGTGATTGGTGGTATCCATGGCTTCATCAAGGGTAAGTCATGCCTGACAAATTTAGTGGCCTTTTAGGATGGAGTTACAGCATCAGTGGATAAAAGGACAACAGACATCATCTACCTGTACTTGTGTAAAGCGTTTGGCACTGTCCCACATGACATCCTGGTTGCAGATGATACCAAGCTGAGTGGTGCAGCTGACATGGTAAGAGGGAAGGGATGCCATCCAGAGGGACCTGGGCAGGATGGACAGGTGAGCCCATGTCAACCTCATAAAGCACAACAAGGTCAAATGCAAGGTCCTGCACCTGCTTTGAAGCAATCCCAAGCACAGATACAGACTAGGAGGAGGATGGCTTGAGAGCAGCCATGAGGAGAAGGATTTGGGGATGTCACATAAGCCAGCAATGTGCACTTTCAGCCCAGAAGGCCAAAATTTATCCTGGGTTACACCAAGAGAAGCTTTGGTGACTCAGCATATTGAGGTAGGTGATTCTGCCCTCTACTCTGCTCTCATGAGAGCACACTGTCACAACTCCTTAGATTGGTCTCTCTGTCCTTGATGGGGATTTCTGTTTAATGTAGTAACTGTCAAGAAGTCAGACAAAAATATGAGCTTGTGAAGTGGGCTCACATGAACCTTATGAGATTCAACAAGATCAAGTGCAAGGTGTTGCAACCTGCTCACAGCCATCCCAGAATTGTGTACAGACCGGACAAAGAACTCACTGAGAGCAGCCCTGCACAGAGACAGCCAAGGAAAGCTTGGATGGGCCTTGGGCAACCTGATCCAGTTTCTGATTTAGTGGGATGCAAAACTGCCCACACTGGGGAGCTGGAGCTCAACGAGCTTTAAGGCCCCTTCCAACCTAAGACATGTTTCAGTGAGATGTAATGCACACATGAGGAAGTGTTTGAAACAGAAACCTGTTGCTGCACTTTGGATCTAGGTGGGTAGGGAAATCAAACCTTCAGGTATCTCCTACAATCTGTTGGACCCAAGGGCAATGATTTGCTATGGGTGAAAGTTCAGTCTTTCATACTAAACAACTTCAGTGAGCAAATTACTGAAGTCTACTCTCTATACAGCTATGGAAAATGGAAATATTTGCATTCACATGAGAACAGCAAAGTGACAGAGACCCCTCAGTTCTGCAATACGCACTGAATTTAAAATGGATCATTTGGATCTTGGTATCCAGGTAAGGAATGAAGGCCTGGCTGAATCAGCGTGGGACATGTCTTATATTTCCCAGGGAATGATCTCAGCCCTGGATTAAAAC